ATAACCCCCAGGGCAAGCGGACATCTACCGGGGCGTGCCGTGCCTGCCGTCGCCCTTCCTCATCGACACAGTCGCTCGCTTTGAAGTTAAAGTAACAGAGTACCGCCACAAGCTCACCGAGCTCCAGGCAGCCATCGAACCAGCCCTGGCAGACTCCAGGTTCGGCGTCGGGTACTCCCGAGCCGCGTCGGCAGCTTCAGCGGCAGCAGCGGTTGAGGCTCTCCCTGTGATTATAAAGAATCTGCATGATTTTTTCATACATGTAGCAGCTCAGGTGGAGAGGGTACATGAGAGGGTGGATGCGGCAAGGAATGCGTTTCTGGCGGAGAGGCGGAGGAGGGGCGACCGGAGTAATCCGTTTGCAGAGGCAGACCGGATTGAGGCTGCTGCTACTGCCAGTAAGAAACCCTCCCTGCTCGGCTCTGCTGCTGGCGTTGGTACTGGTGCTGCTGGTGGTGCTGCCGGTGCTGCTGGTGCAGGAGGTACAGGCAGTGGGATTCTTTCCTCTCCGCTCTCCCTCCTTCCCGGAACCACCACTCCCGGCGCCTCCCCAAACCCTACCGGGCTCTTCCCCTCCTCCACATCCACCACACCATCCCTCTTCGGTTCCACCACCCCAGCCACCGCCACCACCCCTGGTCTCTCCCTCTTCGGTACCCCCCCTGCCTCTGCTGTAGCAGGCAGCTCCCCAGGCACCTCCCTCTTTGGCACCCCCACTCCGTCGCTCTTCGGCAGTGCCACTCCTGGTGCCGCCGCTGCTGCTGCTGCATCCTCTCCTGGCCTTTCTTTCGGCAACCCTGCCACACCTGCCACGGGCACCACGTCTCTCTTCGGCGCTCCGAACCCGGCAGCAGCAGGCTCGTCCCCCGGCTCCTCTCTCTTTGGGAACACCTCGGCTTTCGGCACCGGCGCATCTGCCTTTGGAGCAACCCCAGGAGCAGCAGGAGCGGCCGCAAGCACCCCGTCGCTGTTTGGGTCCCCGGCTGGTCCCACAACCGGGGGTCTGTTCGGAGCAACGCCAGCAGCAGCGTCGCCTTTCGGTGCTCCCGCTGCTTCGCCGTTCGGTGCTGCTGGGGGACCCTCGCCGTCGCCGTTTGGAGCAGCGGCGTCGGCTCCTGGCACATGGCTGTTTGGTGCTCCTGCTGGGGGTGCGGCAGCTGGATCTGGCGGCTTGTTTGGTATGTACCACGCTTTTTTAGAATTCTCAAAAAACAGAGTCAGCCTGACACCCCCCTCTCTCGATTTCTGCTGGGGGGGAGTGCGGCAGCTGGATCTGGCGGCTTGTTTTGTAACAACCGTTTTTTTATGATGGTTGCGGTTTTTCAATTGTCGATGTTTGTGCCTGTTGGTGTATGCATATCAGTCTTCTGAAGTTTGCTTGTCAATGTTTTATGTTTGTGTGTGTGCTTTTTTTTTTTTTTTTAATTGTCAACAGGTGCTCCTGCCACTCCGACACTTCAGCCGGCTGCCCCGATGCCATCTGGTTTTGGCAACACAACTCAAATGGTGAGCTCATACTCAGTGTTTCTTTCTGTCTTTTATTCTAATTTATTTTTTCTTTCCCATCTTTTATTTTTTTTCCCCTGCACATGTCGTGTGCGCAGTACGTGATCGCAGATTTATTTTTAATGATGCTATCCTGATTTGTTTTCTGTCCCTTGCAGACCACTACCCGTTCAAAGTCGCGGGGCTCCTCCAGAAGACGCTAAGAGGACACTAAGATTTCTATATAGACTTAAGACAGCCAATCTGCCAGTGCGCTTTAGAAGGGGATGCTATTAGAAAGTTTTGCTTTCACATCCTAGGTGCCTAATCTCGAGGCATTGACTGGTGGCGAAGCAACTTGTTTGGTTTCCGTTGCCACGGAGGTTTTTGCACGTGGTTCATGCGGGCAAGAGTAACTCATCAGCCCCCTGGTGTCGGAGGGACGTGCTAAAAGCGTGAATGTGTGACGTGGCGTTAAACAGATGCAGGCCCTTCTCATGTCACTGGTACATTGAGGATACTTGGGTCGTTGCCTGTTTCTTTCCAGGGTCAACTCAAAATCCGCTCGTGGTAGTTTCCTGTCCAATCCAAATCGTGCAAGCCCAGTCCCCAGGCTCATCTTCGCAAACGGCTTGTGTGGCTTCTGCCCGCTTCCCCATTTCATCCCTTCCCCCAAACCTAGCGCACATTCACCCTTCGCTACAGCGACACCTCAACCACATCACATCACAAGGAGAGCCAGAGAATCGACCGTATTGAAGCACACGTTACCAAAATCAAAATAGCAAAACCATATGATAGCACACTATACCACACCACGCACCGCACCACAGAGTTCAGAGCAAACTAGTGCCTAGATACTAGTTCTTCGGGGCGTTTATCCGCCTTCCACATCATACGTCACATCTCCGTAAGGCAACCCTAAGGGCGACGTCAGGTTGTACAACCTTTTGTACGCCTTCAGCGGTTAACTTTGTTTCAACACGGTGCAGAGCGGTACAAGGCAAGAACCGCTTTTCACCGTGCTGGACCATCCTGAACCACAAAACAAGAACTGTAAACACGTGAGAATCGATCGTATAACCTGACTTCGCCCTAAATTCCGCCATACACCACGCTTTCCAAGCGTAGGTGATTCATGCTGCTCCTGCGCTAGACGTTGGCCTTGCGGTATGCACTTCTAGAGTCTAGGGTCGCCGTCTTCTTATATTCTTCGTACATACGTAATACTCTCGCTTCCTGTGCTATGACGAGCTTGCTCAGCACCGGGATTTGCGGTCCGCCAAGAGTGCATAGCAGACAAGCCTCGGATCTTTTCTCCGATCTTCACAAACGGTTAGCCTGCGCGAGAGCGACGCGACCGTTTCCCCGATGCGCCTCGACGCGCGGGGTCCTTAGAATCCTCTCCAGCGCCGATAGAAGCGGCGACGCCTCCCCGCCGGATGATTCTCCAGAGCCTGTTCCCGCGTCATGCGGTTCGTTCTCCGCGGCTTCCGCGAATATTCCCCCTTCTCGGGTTATCCTGGTGCAATCCAGCTCCGTAGGAAACGCCAGCGCATCCGACGGCGAAGCTTCTTCGGGAGCTTCGAATCCCGAGGCCAGCGGCTTACGTCCGCAGCAACAGGACCCGAAACAGCCTAACTCGCAGCAGCATCAGCAGCAGCAGCTCTCACAGATTCAAAAAGGGAATTTAAGTCCAGCCGGGTCGAAAAGCGACAAGGCGACGTCCGACGGAAGAAAAGCGCAAGGCACGTCATCGAAACCAAACGGCGCGGGGAAGGACGGGAGGCGCGGCTCGCAGCGGCCGTCGCGGCGAGGCAGCGACGACAGCTCCCCGTGGTGGCGGAAACTTATCCTGGGGATTCTCCCAGATCTGAAGCTTCTCACGTTTTTGGTGACGAATCTGGTGGTTCTGATGCTCTCTGCTCGGATTCTTAGCTCGCACCCGCTCGTCGTGAAACGCGCGGCGCGCCGTTTCGGGTTACTTCCAAAGACCGTCGTTGTAACCCTGGAAAAGTGGGGGTTACCGGCGAATACCCTGGTGTCTGACGAGGCGGCGTCTGCTGGTTCTGATGCTGGCAGTGCGGGTTTAGATGCGAAGGAGCGGCAGCAGCGGCAGCAGCTGCAGAAGCAGCAGCAGGAGCAGCAGGAGACGACTCGAATTTCCTTCTCCATCACTGTTCCGTTTTCGGAGTTTCTTTACCACGTGAAGAAGGACAATATCGTGTCGATTACTGTAGACGGCGACAAGGTGTCGTTCGTTCTGCGACGCCCCGAGTTCGCAAAAGGGCACAAGGCGACGGAGTTACAACCCATGATTCGCCAAGTGGAAAGAATGGCAGAGAGCAAGTGGAAGGAGGCGGGGGAAGCTTCCGGGAAGAAGGTGGGGAAGATGCCACCTGTCCAAGTGCAGCTGACTACGGTGAAGCCTGCTGACGTGGCGGTCCCGTACGCTGAGCTGATGTCACGCCACGTAGAGTTTGGTGCTCCGGATAAGGCGTCGTTTAAACTCGTGAATACGATTTCGGTGAGCAGTCATGGGGAAAGGGGTGGGGGGAGGGGGGAGAAAGGGGAGAAGGGGGAGAGGAGGGGGGGGGGGGGGGGGGGGGGGGGGGGGGGGGGGGGAGGGAGAGGGGGAGAAGTCTAGTGAGGGTATGTGAGTGAGGGTGGGGCGGGTGCTCTGCCTGGGCGTCGTTCAAGCTCGGGAATACCATCTTGGTGAGCAGTCAAGGGGAGAGGGGGAAAGGGGGAAACGGGGAGAGAGGGGAAAGGGGGGAGAAGGGGGAAACTGGGAGAGAGGGGGGAAAGGGGGAGAAAGGGGGAAACGGGGAGAGAGGGGAAAGGGGGGAGAAAAGGGGAAACGGGGAGAGAGGGGAAAGGGGGGAGAAAGGGGGAAACGGGGAGAGAGGGGGAAAGGGGGGAGAAAGGGGGAAACGGGGAGAGAGGGGGAAAGGGGGGGAAAGGGGGGAGAAAGGGGGAAACGGGGAGAGAGGGGAAAGGGGGGAGAAAGGGGGGAAACGGGGAGGAGAGGGGAAAGGGGGGAGAAAGGGGGAAAACGGGGAGAGAGGGGAAAGGGGGGAGAAAGGGGGAAACGGGGAGAGAGGGGAAAGGGGGGGAGAAAGGGGGAAACGGGGAGAGAGGGGAAAGGGGGGAGAAGGGGGAAACTGGGAGAGAGGGGGGAAAGGGGAGAGAAAGGGGGAAACGGGGTAGAGAGGGGGAAAGGGGGGAGAAAAGGGGAAAACGGGGAGAGAGGGGAAAGGGGGGAGAAAGGGGGAAACGGGGAGAGAGGGGTAAGTGTAGTGAGAATATACGAGTGGGGGTGGAATTCGTTGTGTGTGGAGCGGGGACGTCTGAGGGCAGTGCAGCCATGTGAGAGAGTGTGTGTGGAGTGGGGGACGTGTGCAGAGAGGGTGGTGTGGTGAGAGTGTGTGTGTGTGTGTGTGTGTGTGTGGTAAGTGTGTGTGTGGTGATGATTTCAGTCTCACTCCTTTATTTTTCTTATCTTTCCCGTTGCCATGCCCTCCTTGCCATGCCCTCCTTGCCATGCCCTCCTTCCATGCCCTCCTTGCCATGCCCTCGCATCTGCGTCCCTGCACTATCCTTCCCAGTCCACTCTCCTGTACGCAGGCATAGCAGCGGTCGTGCTCTCGCGCTTGCAAATGAAGCTCCCACAGGTTAGTGAAGGGATTCGCGTATGAGGTGAGTTAAGTCGCGAGGGGGGCGATTTTTGAGTCGACTCAAAAAGCGACTCATCACACGCGCACAGGTTAGTGAAGGGGATTCGCGTACGAGGTTAGTTAAGTCGCGAGGGGGCGATTTTTGAGTCGACTCAAAAAGCGACTCATCACACGCACGCGCACAGGTTAGTGAAGGGATCAGCGTATGAGGTGAGTTTAGTTGCGAGGGGGCGATTGACAGGTGGTGGAATCCGCATGGGGGCATTCGATGCACACCGCTCGACTCGACTCCACTCCACTCTGCTGCTGGGCCCTGTCTCTCCACATATAATGTGCGTTTGCTGAGACAATTTTCTTAAGGGGGCATTTGATGCACGCAGCACGCTACTCCATTCCACTCTGCTGCTGGCTCTCCACTCCACATATAATCCGCGTGTGATGAAAAAAAGAAATAGTTTACGCAAAAGCCTTTCTTAAAAGGGTGCTTGATGCACGCCACTCCACTCTGCTGCTGGCTGTTATAAGTGCGTTAATGCCGTATCGTTTGCTTTCACTCATCCACCCATCCTCCCATCTGATGTCCGTCCCAACTCTGTCCGTCCCAACTCTGTCCGTCCCAACTCTGCCCATCCATTTCTCCACGTGGCATGGCAATTCATATTTTTCTCCATCCTTCCATGAGGCATGCCATTCAAACTCTGTCCATCCTTTCATCCACGTGGCATGTCCAAAGTTTGGGGGTAAGGCACGCAGTCAGAAGGGCAAGTCGCCGCCAGTGCTGTTTGCTGACGTGGCAGGGGTGGATGAGGCGAAAGAGGAGCTAGAGGAGATCGTGGTAAGTGGGCCGAGTGTTGGTGAAGGGGGAGGGGGAGGGGAAGGGAGGGGAGGGGAGGGGAGGGGAGGGGAGGGGAGGGGAGGGGAGGGGGGAGGGGAGGGGAGGGGAGGGGAGAGGAGGGAGGGTGTGGGCTATATGGGGGTGGATGAGGCGAAAGAGGAATTGGAGGAGATCTTGGTAAGTGGTGGGACGAAGGGGTGGGGCGAGTGTGTGAAGGAGGGTCTCCTTTTCCCTACTTTATCTCCCTGGTGACTCATTGTCCAGCTTTCTTCTCTCATCCTTGCTTCGAAATCCGAGGAGGACCTTTGTGCCGCCGAAGCTTGACTGATTAAACACTTTATCTCCCCTATCTGGTGACTTTTGAGTCGACTCAAAAGTCAGCTTGACTGATTAAGCACTTTATCTCCCCTATCTGGTTTCTTCTTCATCTATTTCATTCTTGCCTCTCTCTCTCCTCCTTTCGCCACCCCAGGGGCACCTTAGCACGCCTAGGCTTTACTAAATAAAATCCGGTTCTTTTGGTTTCTGCTTCATCTCCTTTTTTGCTTCTCCCCGCCCCGCCCCGCCTCACCACCCCAGGAGTATCTCCGCACGCCGGAGCGTTTCACTCGACTGGGGGCCAGACCTCCCAGAGGAGTGCTGCTGGTGAGGGCGTGTGCTGTGCTGCTGGTGAGGGCGTGTGCTGTGCTGCTGGTGAGGGCGTGTGCTGTGCTGCCTGCTGGCTCATGGTTCCCTCACACAATGTTGCTTGCTTGTATGCTTTTCCACCTTCAGTGGCGTGGTCTCAAATTTGATGCTTTCGAGTGAGTCCTACTCATCGTTATGGCTTCTTAGGAGCCCAATCTAAGTCGTAACCAAATTAGCGAACGCAGAAGTTTCCTCAGCTAAACCTCCTCTGGCCTTTTTCCCCTGTTTGCCGAGCCTGCCTTTCAGGTTGGGCCGCCAGGCACGGGAAAGACGATGCTGGCCAAGGCAGTGGCTGGGGAGGCAGACGTACCCTTTATAAGCTGCAGCGGTAGCGAGTTTGTGGAGCTGTATGTGGGCCTGGGTGCGTCGCGAGTGAGAGAGCTGTTCGCGCAGGCAAAGAAGGACTCGCCGTCTATCGTGTTTATTGATGAGGTGAGCTTGTAACGGGTTCTGCTTATAGTGAGAGAGTGATAGTGACCGGGCCAGAGGACTTTTGAGTAGACTTCAGAGCTGTTTGCACGCATATAGAAGGGCTCGCCCCCCGTCTTGTTGATTGATGAGGTGAGTGTATGGCAGGACCAGGTTACGCCTCGAAAGAAAAATGTCTTGTGAGTTGAAGTCCCACGGGTCACTGGTCATGAAGAAGAGCTGCAGCGATCCCTCACGCTGCAGCTCTTCTTCATGACCAGTGACCCAAATGTCTTGTGAGTTGAATAGAAAGCTGTTCGCACGAATCATGAAGGACTCGCCCTTTGTCGTGTCCAGTGATGAGGCGAGCTCGTATGGGAGTCCTTTATTTGTGCGAGCAGCACTTGAACCGACTCATAAGTCCAACTGCAACCGTCCAAGGTTATGAGTCATGACCAGTTGTGTGTGTGTGGTTTTTTGAGTTGTTTTATGCCCAAAACACACACACAACTGGTCAAGTCACCTTCTCCCTCGTTCCATCCCCTCTGTCTCGAGGTGACTTTTGAGTCTACTGAAAAGTCACCTCGTTCACCTCGTTCCATCCCCTCTGTCTCGAGGTGACTTTTGAGTCGACTGAAAAGTCACCTCGTTCACCTCGTTCCATCCCCTCTGTCTCGAGGTGACTTTGAGTCGACTGAAAAGTCACCTCGTTCACCCGTTCCATCCCCTCTGTCTCGAGGTGACTTTGAGTCGACTGAAAGTCACCTCGTTCACCTCGTTCCATCCCCTCTGTCTCTCCCTCGACAGATTGATGCAGTGGCCAAGGTGCGGATGGGCGCATGCGCAATGTGCGATGTATTGATGCCAGCAAGCTAGTGATTTGATTCGTGCTCTTCCCATCTCTTCTCCTGTGTGCAATCTCTCCCTCTCTCTTCCCTCTCTCTTCCCTCTCTTCCCTTTGGCAGATCGATGCAGTGGCCAAGGTGCGGGATGGGCGCATGCGCAGTGTGGGAAACGACGAGAGGGAGCAGACCCTGAACCAGCTGCTCACTGTGAGTGGGGGGGGT